ATAGTGAACCACCAGGGTACCCTGAACTCAAAGTACAGGAAGTAACAAAAGAGATCAATCAGGCTCTAGAAAAATTCAAAACAGAAATAATTTCCCAGATAACCATAGAGATGGTGAGCAAAATGAAAGTCATGATTCGAGACTCTAGATCAGAAACTGACAAAAAAATAGATGAGCTCAGGACCACGATAGAAGCCATGAAGGCCCAGCATAAGAAAGCAATGGAAACAATAAATGCCCAACATAGGAGAGAAATGGAATCCATAAAACAGATTTAAACAGATATCCAGGAGATTAAACACTCCATTGAAAGTATACGCAACAGAATAAAAGAATGCGAGGATAGACTCTCAGATATAGAAGATAAGATTGCAGTCAATGACCATGAAAAGAGAGGTCTCTTAAAAACAGTAGGGGAACATGAGAAATCAATCCAACAACTCCTAGATGATTCAAAGAAGAATAACATAAGACTGATAGGAATCCATGAAGTAGCAGGAGAAAATACAAATGACTTTAAAAAGCTGTTCACAGAATTAATGACAGAAAACTTCCCAAACAGAGGGGAAGAATTTGACATTCAGATAAGTGAGGCCTATAGGACCCCAACTAGCCACAATCAAAAAAAAAAATCTACACCTAGACATATAATAACCAAGATCCCAGAAACCCAACAGAAGAATAAAATACTACAAGCAGTAAGAGAAAAGAAACAAATCACATGTAAAGGAAAGCCCATCAGAATCACAGCAGACTTTTCAACACAAACCCTTAGGGCAAGGAGAGCCTGGAGTGAGATATTTCAAGTACTAAAAGAGAACAAACTCCAACCTAGACTGATGTAGCCTCCAAAACTCTCTTTCAAAATGGAGGGGGAAATAAGACACTTCCACGACAAAGAACACCTGAGAAACTACATGAATACCAAATCAGCACTACAAGCAATTCTAAACAAGATCTTAGAAAAAGACAATGAAGGCAACAACACCATGAGGCCCAACAGAGCAAATCAAATAGGTAAGGCAAGAAACTAAAAGGAGAAGGTGAAAAAGTCAAAAGAGTCAACAAAAGGTCAATAACATGACAATAATAAATCAGTATATATCAGTTATGACCATCAATGTCAATGGCCTCAACTCACCAATCAAGAGAAACAGACTGGCAAAATGGAATAAGAAGCAAAATCCAACAATATGTTGTATACAAGAAACACACCTAGTGCGAAAAGAAGCCCAGAGAATGAAAGTGAAAGGATGGAAAACAATTCTCCATGTGACAGGAGCCCAGAAAAAAGCAGGGGTAGCAATCTTATTCGCAGACAAAGCAAATTTCAAACCAAAACTGATTCTAGTATTATTGATGTAGGACAGTACTTTATCATACCTCTGTGAATGTAAAATATCTAGTACCTGCTTTATGATACGTAGTAGTGACCATACTTTATCAGAGCTACATTTAATGATATTACTCTAGAATGATCTCTTTCCAGATGATGATTAAGATGCTAATAAAAAAAAATGGTGCCAGGTACCACAACAGCAACAGAACTTTGCTGTTTTCTGAATATTCTTTTCTTTGTTTTTTTAGTGGAATGTGCTGAATGTCTATAATTTTGTTCAGATGACTGCAGAACCTGGAGAAGCTGTTGTTGCTATTGATGCATAACATACTGCTATTATTGGTCTTTTTATATAAATATAAATATATATATACATACATATATATAATTTGAATTTTTGGAAACTTTAACTGTGCTGTCAACTTTGGAAAAAGTTATCCCAATGTACTGTGTTGAGTTGGCATTGTACAGAAATTGACAGCCATATTGGTCTAGAAATGTTAATTTTTTTAAAATTTAAATTTAAATTTTTATTTTATTTTATTTTCCATTTGTACAGGGATAATGCACTGTATTAAATATTAAAGTCATATCTACGTGGGTTTGATTACAGAAACTAATAAAGTATTCTCTAAATAATGAAAAAAAGAATAAGATAAGACTACAAGAGCAAGAAGCAGTTTAAATATGTTCAGAAACCATTTTCATCTTCAGAATTAAGGATTATTTTAATCTTACATCATTGCCTTTTCTCTTTTACTTTCCTTTTTAGTTTTATTTTAGGATTCCCTATTTTTAACGTTCATACAGAGATTTCTTTAACTGAAATACCAAATAGTTTCTATGGTGTGAAAAACTACAATAAGACACAGGATCCTTATAAGATAATGAATAATGTGAAATAGGAAGTAAAGGGCTAAAGGTGCGGGGAAAGTGGGAAGGGTGGGGGAAAGGTAATAAGGGAGAGGAAAAAAATATGAGAAACTTAAAAAATGGAAATAAAGTGCTTGCAAATGGGGAGGGGAGGAGGGGGTGAAGGGAGGGCAGGGACAAGGGGAAAAAATGAGAATCAAGACCTATCATGTAAAGGTACAGGATCCATATAATGAATGTAACTGTATTGTATACCTAGATTGTACCAATAAACTCAATAAAAAGAAAAAAAAAAGAATGAGAATGCTTCCGCTGAGATCACTGATATTTATGTAGCACTTTGTAAAAGTGATTTTGTATTTATAAAAACACTTACTAAATGTTAGGCAAACAATTATTAATATCATTTTACAAATGATGGAAATGAATAGCATCAGAAACCAGAAACTGCCTTGACTGGGCCAGGGATTTTGCTCAGTGGTTCCACTGTCTGTCTTGTAAGTTCAAGATCCCAAATTTGATCCCCCAAAAAAGAAAAAGAAACTTTCTTGATTATTAGCCACATACTCCACTGGGAAATCACTAAAAACTCTGGACTCCTTAGTTTGTAGGTCAGTTTCTTGACATACGAATTTGAGCTTCAGGAGATCAAATCACTGCTGTCTCATAGTCAAGAAATGCACGTTCTTCTGTAGAACAGAATGTTCCAGAGTTCAGCTTGGGCACTGATGGTTGACTTATCAAGACATCAAGCCCTTAAGTCACCTCCCACATTCCTCACATCATATCAGAGTTGATGTGTTATGTTCTTGTCTTTTTCGAGTGTCTCTAACTAGTCTCCACTTGTCTAATTTTAGACATCAAGCGTTTCTGGCCAGACACTCCATAACTGATTGTGTGTTCTGTACAGTGCATACACTGAGCTGTGACAAACCTCACAAATATCACCAATTCAGGGACAACTGAATGGATACTAAGAAACAGATATTAACAAAAGGCTAGGTGAATAAGCTGATTACATTTTCTGCTGTGGAAAACAGTTCAGCAGTACCTCAACAAGTTAAACATAAATTACCGTATGACTCAGCATTTCTACTCTAGGAACATATCAAAGAGAAATGAAACATATATTCACAATAATAAGTAATTAGCATAGAGTGTTAACTCCTGCAAATTAGTTTTCACTTATATGTGTATTTCCTACATTTATAAATAAAATACTATGTAATGCTACTGAACAGTGCTTGTATTGTTCTCCAGGTATGTGAATAAAGATTATGTTATTATAAAACAATCTCAAAAAGAGAATTATGTTTATATAAAAACTTGTACACAAATGTTCACAGCAGCTCTATTTATAATAGCATTATGTGGGGATAACCCAAATATCCATCAAATGACGAATGGATAAGCAAAATGTATGACAGCCATACAGTAGTATATTATTTAGCAATTAAAAAAATGAGATAGTGAAATATGCTACAACATGTACGGACCTTGAAAGCTTTATGATAAGTAAAAGAACACAGACACAAAGATCATATATATATATATTTTGGTACCAGGGATTTAGCTCTGACCTTGCACTTGCCAGGCAGATGCAGTGCCACTGAGCTGTATCCCTGGCCCAAGACCATGTATTTTAAGATTCCATTCAGATAAAATGCACAGAATAGGCAAATTCATGACACAAAAAGCAGATTAATGCCTGCCAGACAGTAATAGAAAGACAGCATAAGAGCTGACTACCAACAGGAAAAAGGTTTCTTTTTAGGGTGACAAAAATGTTATATAATTCAACATAACATAATATACTATGTTATGATATGCTAAAATCCAATGAAATATACACTTCAAGATGGTGAGTTTTTATTCGATGTGAATTATAGCTTAATATTAAAAAACAAAAGATATAGGCAACAGCATCCATGACAATTCTCTAGACAATGGGTCAAAATATTAAATATTAAAAAATGGAGCCAGGAATAGCTGTGCATATCTGTATCCTAGCTACTAAGGGGGCTAAGATGGATATGGAAAGTTTAAAGCCAGACTGGGTAACTTAGTGAGACCTCTCCAAATTAAATTTTAAAAAGGGCTGAGGATGTAGTTTAGTGTAACCTAGCTTTAATCCCTAGTACTAGAAAGAAAAAAGACAAACTTTTATTATTTAAGGTATTTTAACAAAGGCATTCAAAATTAGTGTAAAAATATTCAGTAGCAATGTGACAGCTAACAATGTAGAGAAAAAAAATCAAGTGAGATACGTTTTTCATAAAAGTATTACCGAATATTTAAAGATTTAACTGGAAATAAAATCATAAAATTTCTACCAGGAAAAAAAATAAATATGAGAAAATAGTCACTATATAATTTAATAAAAACCATGTTATCAAACTATGTAATATTATCTTATCTGGATAAAAACACATATTTTCAGAATATTTACTGACATGTAGCACAATATTAAAAAACAAGGTAAAAATACTATATATAGTGTGACTCTAAGTTTTTTTTAAAGTAAATTATACACTCACAGAGATAAAAGCCAAGGCTAAATACACCAACATTTTAAGAATCTTTCCCTTCGAGTAAAGAGATTATAGATGAGATTTTGCTGCTTTAACTTTTCAGCTTTCTACAGTTTCTATTATGTTAAATGAAAAAAACTACTAGTAATGAATATATTTACCTATCTTACTTTCCCTTATTTCCACACAGATGCCTCAGGCAGTGTTGTATCAAGAATTTCCATTCCAATCACCACGTTTCCCATTCCCAACATTACCTGGAAGATGTCCATTAGAATCAAGGTTGCCAGGAGCATGGTGATCATTTCAAAATGTCCTGTCTTCATTTTTCTTTTCTAAATTAAAATGAAGAAACTCCAACTCAGTAGACTTAAAAGAGGAGGTTAGGGGAATAAGAGCAAGACGACTATATATATTCATTCTGGGTGAGAGTGGATATTGAGATGGTCTTAGAAAGTGATTATCAATAAATTCCTAATGACTACAAGAGCCATTAAGTTTTTATTAATGGTCTAACACCTTCATTCTAGAGATGAAACAAAACTCATAGAACTTCAGGGATTTGCTCAAGATTAATTCTGTCCATTTCCATATTCCTCTAGACATGTATCTTCCACCACAGTCACTAGTAGACATATTTTCTCTATTTCTCAATCTTTCCTTTCTATCCACAGGAAATAACACAATCAAACCAAACACCACAGTCTCAAATAGTCTCCCAGCTCCCATTTGCTAAGAATTTTCTAGCAACATGTACACATACATCTCACAATTTTCTACTTTCTTTGCAAACTAAGTTGTTTCAATTTGGATAGGAAGGAAGAAAATATGAGGCTGGTAGAATAAAGCAGATTTTCAGAGGTGGCTTCCTTCTCCCATATATTTACAATCAAGAGAAGCCTAAAGGTAAACAAGTGTCTCTCATAATTTCTGAAAATAGGAATGAAAATAAGAAAGACCTGCGTAGGCAGCATTTCTAACAAGATTATACAACTCCATTGGCTGAATGTTGAATATTCATCCCAGTACTCGTGACACTGAAAGGGGTAAACAACAGGGTAACAGGTCTACAAAGACTAAAGTTGTCCCAGAGCCATTAACCAATTCAATTAAGGATTATAGATCTGCCTCTGGTTTCCCCTACATACCAACAAAGTTGACATTACTAGAACTGAAATGAAATCTCTTTTATCTTACCTATAATCATATATTCTGGATTCTGAAAATGGGAATGAACAGCATAGTGGAAGGGAGATAGTCTTCCTTTTTAAATAACATCTTGGTCCTATGCTCCTTTCTTTAGAAGCAGTTTCTTTAACTAAAGTTATTAAAATATAGTATTAAAGTTTAACTTCTGTGTTAAAGTTCTCTTTCCAAAAAAGTGTTTGGAATGTAACATTTAGAAGATACTATCAAAAGGCAGTATGTGCCCAAAAAGCTCTGGTTCAGAGTTTTCCTGAAAATTCTTCTTCACTTCTGTAGTCTGAGTTCAAATAAGTCAAAATGTTTACCTGCCTTATTGCCTTTGATGGAAGTTTAAGTGATGCTAGATCTCAAATTGACTCCCCACTCTCAGTTGTGGTGACCGTGTCCTCAGGAGGGGATGTTGCTGACAGTGAGAGCTGAGAAGGGAATGCTTTTCTTTTTATAAACACTCCCAGCAGTAGATTGGCAGAGGCATATTACTCCACTTGTGTTCTGCTATTTATATCTGGCTTCTACAGTATGCCTTGGAATCACTGCTGTTAACACTTTAAAACTCCAAGCAGGCTGTAAAGCCATGTCAATTCCTCCTAGCCGTGCAGCACATTCAGTTGTGAGCCCACATTTCTGGGCTTCTTGCAGAACGAAATGACTTCCCACTTCTAACCCTCTGTACCGAGAGGTCAGGCTAAAGCTTGGATTTAACTCTAGCTGCATAATTCACATAACTAAGACCATTTGCTTTCTTAATTACTGGTAATTTTAATGGCTATCACTGTTCATTCAACTAGCTACCATCTTTCAGATACTGTGCCAGGTGCTAGGATACACAAGCAATTAGAACAAAGTACTGAAAGATATCTATAATCTAATAAAAGACACAAATATGAATATTTAATTAAGAACCTTGAGTACAAAGTCCAGTGAGAACACTAAAGAAGAAAGGATTTGCTAATTCTTGCCAACTGTACTGCTCATTTGAATAAGGTAAAATAATAGATATACTAGAAGCATATTGTAAATAAGTTGGCAATGTTGAAGAACACTGACTTTCACTGACTGTAGATTTAAAAAATCTTGAGATATCCTAGAAAATGCATGCATACTTACATCAAAATATATTAATAGAATGTTGATAATAACACTCTTCAATAATAGCCATTATAAATTAAAAACCATCCAAATGCCCATTAACAGATGAACTATTAAGTATACTTACACAATGAAATTTTCTATGTTGAAAATGTAACAATATGTAACAATATCTCACAAAGTTTTGAACAAGAGACATAAACAGGTATGCACTGCATGACTTAACTTATGTAGAGTATAAAAATCAGGCAAAACATATCTATATCATTTGAAGTCAGAACAGTGGTCACCCAGAGTGGCAGATAGTAGGTGGAAGGTGTACAAGGCATACATGTGAGATGCTAGCTATGTTTTGTTTTTGTTGCTGTTGTTCTGCATGCTGATTACACTGCTGCACTGTTCATTTTGTAAAAATTCACTATTTATGTGTAATTTTCTTTATATATATGTATAAATATTGTTTCAATAAAACATTTAAAATTATATTGATGCATACCCACACTTAAAAATGCATGGTGAAAAGTTTGCCCAGATCTATGTCAACATCACCTTTCTGTATTATCACTATGAATTCTGCTGGGCAAGCATACACTTCTGGAAGTCCTGTTGGAAGTCCCACAAACTGCTGGTGAAGAAGGCAGTGACCACCCCTGTCATATCATATCCTGTTTCACTGGAGCTGAGTCCAAGGCTGATCCAGCCACAATTACTGCAGTAGGTAAGTAATGTAGAGAAAGAGAGGGCACTGCCTCAAGGCTTACAGTATTCTGGGTATCTGTGCATTTGTTCTTGATTTTTAAAGAAGAAATTGGTCTTTTAATTATTATTATTTATAATCCTATTACTGAATTCTAGATGATCAACATAGAGCAAAATTGCAGAGTACGTAAAGGTACTAATTTCTGCATCTCTGTCTGCTTGTTACTTTAATTTCTCACTCCACCTTTGTCATACAAAGATTGTCATTCTCAACTGTAGACATCAGGTTGATGTTTATGACTTTTCTGTATGTTGTTGTTTTGATTGGACTATGCATTTATTTTCAGAAACTTAGAGTTGCCCCTAGGATAAGTTTATTGGTACATTTAAAGCAAACAATACAATTACATTTATCATTGGGATTTTGTACCTTTACATGGTATGTCTTGGTTATTTCTAATAAAATTTTTAAAAAGCCATATTTTTTAAAAAGTCAAGTATATACCACTAGTGGTTCAAGCTGTCTGGAAACTAAGCATACGAATTATGTCCCCATCATGAATGTGTTAGGAGAAAACTAAAGAAAACTTAATGCTTTTAAATATAAAATACTCCTTTCTGGAGCAGGAAAACTAAGCTCATAAAAAAGGGAAGCAAAACTAAAAGGGGTAATCCCTTTTGTTTTATGAGAACAGGAGATGATCACAGAGTGGGTGAGGTAGCATTCTGACATGTTCCTTGTCACCCAGGACAACTACCTCTTCTTCAGTGAGCTGACTACTTCTACCCCAAACAGGAAATTCAAATGTTGGTCTTATTAACTTTTTTCCTCCCCTTACAGTACTGGGGACTGAACTCAAGGCCTTGAACATGTTAGACAAGTATTCTACCACTGAGCTACTATCCCTAGTCCTTTTTAAAGTTTTTATTTTGAGATAGCGTCTCACTAAATTTCCCAACCTAGGCTCAAACTTGCCATGCTCCTGCCTTAGCCTCCCAAGCAGCTGAGATTATCATCATGTATCATTACATTCAGCTCCTATTTCTTCTATAAAATTAACAAAAAGGCTATCCTTAAACTACAACACATTACCATTTAAAGTTTCCTTAGAATATTTAGTGAAGGAATCTCTAAAAGTTGACATGGAATTCATCTGGAAACTCATTTTTGTGGCTCACAATCTTTATACTTTGGCATTCTTCTTACTCTTGAAACACCATTTACTGAGCCCCTATGTAATTTGGGCTTAATACATGTGCACGCGCACACACCCTATTTTTAAAGAAATTAGTTTATAGGAAAAGGATACCATATAAATAAAAATTATAATACCATAAAGTAAGTGCAATGTCACAGATGTACAAGGGATGATATAGGTCCACAAAGGAGGGTAACAACCTGGAACCAGGGAGAGGCACTGAAGTGGCAATTTTGGTTGAGGACTGAAAAAATAGGAATTAGAGAAAAAAGAGTATTCCAGGCAGAGGTAAAAGCACCAGTATAAGGCACTGGTGACCCACAGTCCAAACAATGTAAATCATTTAATACAGCTGGATGGCATGAAATATGTTAAGGTGCAGAAAGATTCAAGGCTGGATAGAAAATCAGGACCAGATCATAAAGAGCCTTGAGTGTGATGTTTAAAAGTTGAAACTTCAGCCAAGTATGGTAATGTACACCTGCAAGTCCAGCTCTCCAGAAGGCTGAGACAAGAGAACTGCAAGTTGGCACCCAGTGTGGACAGTGTGATGTCTATGTGAAACCCTGTCTCAAAAAAAAAAAAAAAAAAAGGATGGGGATTAGCTGCTCAGCATGAAGATCCTGGGCTCCATACCCAGAGCAACACACATACATAAAGTTGAAATTTTACATCTTTTTGTGATGAGAAATTATGGATAGGAAACTAAAGTGGAAAGACATGATTCAATTTCTTATTTTTTCTTTTTTTTTGGGGGGTACCAGGGATTGAACTCGGGTCCTTGCTCTTGAGAGGCAGGCCACGGAACTGCTGAGCTAAATCCCCAGCCCAACATGATTCAATTTCAAAGGTCACTTTCACAGAACAGAAGGATGAATTAACAAGAATTTTTGACTAGAAGAAAGGAAATGTGTTGGAAGATATCTGATTAATCCAGGAGGTAAGTGGTAGGAGCTTGACTTAAATCAATGGTAATAGACTTTGAATGAAAAAGATTTGATAATAATTACATAGAATAAGGATGTATAGAGGCATAGAGTAAGAGAAAGGAAAGCATATAAGCTTATTAGACAGCAGATATATATTCAGTAGATGTAAGATGTATGAATGAAGAGAACAATTTCCTGAAGAACACTGGCATT